TCTTGAGGCCAGAAGTCTACCAATCCACAGTCCTCAAGGTTTCCTGTCAACCAAGATATCTGGTGGAAAGTACGCCCCATTTCTCAGATCCCTCCGGAAGATGGGCATGTCCTTTGTGTCCTGCTGCTGTGCTGTTTGCCCCTCATCCCTCTCCATTGACTCGTTATTCAAGTGTTTCCTTATCTCCCAATCAAGAGCATCGCAATGCCCAAAATATTTTGGGATGTTGTGCAATGCTCAATTGCACAGGAAGGGTTGGAGTCAGAGTCCCCAAAGAAGACCATGACCAGGTCAGCTACTGTGCCATGAAGTGCCTGCGCCACAGAAAGCAAACTCTTGGGTACCCAGCTTGACCAGATTCAAATGATGTCCTTTTTGCAACAGACCTACTTAGACCTTAGTGCTAAAGTTGGCTTCGTGCTCTATTCTTTTTTGTTTTGGTTCTACCTTCATTTGTATCTGGGGCTTAGTTTTCTTGCTAGCACATGGATATATTTAGGAATATTTTTAATAGCCAGGCATGGTGGCACACACCTTTAATCCCAATATTCAGGAAGCAGTGGCAGGAAGATCTCTGTGAGTTTGTGGCCAGTCTGATCTACAGAGCAAGTTCTAGGACAGTCAGGGCTGTTACACAGAGAAACCCTGTCTCAAATAACTAAAGGGGGAAAAAAAAGAATAGTTAAAACAACTTACTTATCATTTGACTGTTTTTATGTATATATTCTTTTTCTTATAAGACAATCTCATGTACCCCAGAATGGCCCCAAACTCACTATATAGCTAAGGATAACCTTGAACGTCTGATCTTCTTGCCTCTACTCCCCAGGTTTGGTGATTGCAAGTGTGCAGCACCACACCGAGTTTTAGGTGTTGCCTTTAAAGATCAAACTCAGAGCCTTGTGCATGCTAAGGCAGCGTCACACAATCAGCCTCTACCGATGATACTCAAGAATTTATTTGCTTTTATTTTACATATATGAGTATTTGCCTGCATGTAAATATGTGTAGAGCCCCCAGAGGCCAGAAGACAGCATCAGATCCCTTGAAACTGGTGTTACAGGTGGTTGAGAGCCACCATGTGGATGCTGGGAACTGAATCCTGGTCCTCGGCAAGAGCAGCAAGTGCTCTTAGTAGCCATATCTCTAGCCCCCAAGATCAATTTCATTTTTATTTATTTATGTGTATGTATGAGTGTCAGTGTGTGTATACATATGTGCCCATGGGTGCCCAGGGAGGACAGAAGACAGCGTGAATCCCTGGAGCTGAGTCCCCGCAATGTGGATTCTGGGAACAGAACTTTAGTCCTGAGCCATCTTTCTAGTCATATATCTACAATTTTAAATCATTTATCATATTTTTTAAAGTTTTTTTTTTTGGTTTTTCGAGACAGGGTTTCTCTGTAGCTTTGGTGCCTGTCCCAGAACTAGCTCTTGTAGACCAGGCTGGCCTCGAACTCCCAGAGATCCGCCTGCCTCTGCCTCCCGAGTGCTGGGATTAAAGATGTGCACCACCACCGCCCGGCTTTAAAGTTTTTAAGACAGGGTTTCTCTATGTAGCCTTGGTCATTCTGGAATTCACTTCGTAGACTGGACTGGCCTTGAACTCATAGAGATCTGCCTGCCTCTGCCTTCCAAGTGTTGCTGGGATCAAAGGTGTGCGCCACCACTGCCTGGCTCCCTTATCATATTTTCAGTGAAAGGATCAACCAAGGAATTAAGGTACCTCATCTGCTCTCCTGCTTGATAGACCTTTTTTCTTTAGATTTTTTTTAAGTTTATTTATTTATTAAGGATTTCTGCCTCCTCCCCGCCACCGCCTCCCATTTCCCTCCCCCTCCCTCGATCAAGTCCCCCTCCCTCATCTGCTCGAAGAGCAATCAGGGTTCCCTGACCTGTGGGAGGTCCAAGGACCGCCCACCTCTATCCAGGTCTAGTAAGGTGAGCATCCAAACTACCTAGGCTCCCCCAAAGACAGTACGTGCAGTAGGATCAAAAACCCACTGCCATTGTTCTTGAGTTCTCATCTTTAGATGTTTTGACACAGTGTGTATACCAGGATGGCTTTGGAATAATGAACCTAAACTAGGTGGTGGTGGTACAAGCCTTAAATCCTAGAACTTGGGAGGTAGAGGTATAGGTGGAGCTCTCTGAGTTTGAAGCCAGCCTGGTCTACAGAGTGAATTCTAGCACAGTCAGAGCTACACAGAGAAACCCTGTTTCAAAAAACAAACAAACAAACAAACAAACAAAAAACAAACAAAATGAAATAAAAAAGAAGGAATGAACCTCCTTCTACAGTTTGGAGGGCTGAGAGAACAGACGTGTGGCAACATGCCCTGCTTGACTGACATCTGTTCACACGGGTCTACTGAAACCCTCCAATTGTTCTACTCAAATGCTTTCTTTATGCATTCTCATCTGCCTTTCTTCACTTCCACAGAGCTGGCTATTGCATATAGACTTTAAATTTTCATTATTTTATGTGCACTACATGTGTGCAGTACCCTCAGAAGCCAGAAGAGGGTAGCAGATCCTTTGGTACTGTATTTTCTGATGGCTGTGTGCCACTATGTGGGTGCTGGGAATTGAATCTAGGTCATCTGGAAGAGTACCCAACACTCATAACTGCAAAGCCATCTCTTCAGGCCCTGCTTCTAGACTTTAAAAGTACTTTTGTATCCACCTCTGTTAGGCACGGAGTCACAAGTTACAGAGTATAAAGCCCCTTGTGAAAGATGATCTGGGAAGACAGCACAGTCGGTAAAACGCTTGCTTTTCATGGTCCCCAGAACCCATGTTTAAAAACAAAACAAAGTCAAAGAAAAAGTTAATAACAAGGCCCGGCGGTGGTGGCGCACGCCTTTAATCCCAGCACTCGGGAGGCAGAGGCAGGCGGATCTCTGTGAGTTCGAGACCAGCCTGGTCTACAAGAGCTAGTTCCAGGACAGGCTCCAAAACCACAGAGAAACCCTGTCTCGAAAAACAAAACAAAACAAAACAAAACAACAACAACAACAACAAAAAAGTTAATAACAAAACTAGTCATAGTGACGAGTGCTTGAAACCCCAGTGCTGAGGTGGCAGAAACAGATGGGTCGCTGGGGTTCACTGGCCAGCCAGCCAAACCTACTTGTTGAACTCCAGGCCAGTGACAGACACTTCTTCCTCAACAATAGTGGCTAGTGTCTGGAGAACACCAGAGATTGTCCCCTGACCTCCACACGCGTGCGCAAACATGTGAGGAGCAGGCCCAAACACATGTTCTCACACACCCACCTCAAAGACGGTGACAGCAGAGCCAGAGTGAGCTCTGAACGACTACACAGGTCAAACTCCCAGGAAGCTGGTTTGGAGAGCCGTTAGTGTTTGCTTAGACAGCCGTTGTCCTTACTGATCCTGGAGATGGGTGTTCTCTGTCGGAAGCAAACCTATGTGATTGACCAGTAAGTCCCAGGGCAGCAGCAAGGTGCCAGGGGTCGTCAGTAGACAGCTGTTGGATGGACAAATGAAAACTCCACCACGCTCTTCATCTATTTTATTTCTGTGCTTAACAATTTAAACTTTAAAGATGTATTTAGTGTGTGTGAGGGTGGGGGATAGCGCACCCAGGTGCCTCAATGCTCGTGTGGAGGTCAGGGGCAGCTTGGGAAAGTCAGTTTCTCCTACCACGTGGGTCTTGGGGATCCAACTCACCAACTCAGTCATCAGGCTTGGCCGCGGGCACCTATACCTGCTGAGCTGTCTCACCCCTAGACTCTCAATTTTAAAGCACAGCTCTTTGGCAACCGCCTTGACAGATAAGAAGAACTATATACTAAATGTCCCTGCTCATTCTAAGATGCCTTCCGGTTTACAAAATTCATCTTAGAACTGACAGGGCATGGAGGTACCTTTTAGCATCCTACATGATGGCTGTGCTTACGCTCCATGGGAAATGAGACATTTCTCTCGGTTCTACTAAGTGTTCCTGGACCAACTTTCTATCTTACTTTCTCTGACATCTGCTCTTGGCTGAATGAGCGCTGGGCATGAATTGTCTGCAACCTCGGCTCATGACTGAAGGGACAATGGAGTGGTCTCGTAGGCGGCAAGATAGTTGGCCAGTTTGTTCATCTTCCACTAGACTACTCGGTTTCCCATGGGAGAAGGGCTCTCCAGGCCCCTTTATGTCATTTATGTAGTGTGTCACCTTAAAACATCTCCCTGGGGAATGGGCGTGGGCTTCATACCAGATTCTTGCTTGTTAGGGCCGGCGATTTCTACCTTTTGTACCTCAGTTTGTCTGGTTACTCAGGGAGGAAAGCCAGTGACCCCAAAGAGACACACAGAGAGATACACAGAGGAAAGCCAGTGACCCCAAAGAGACACACAGTTGCTGAGGGACGTTAACTCAGAACCACTCCCAAGGGTGGTGGACTGTCTTTCAAGCCTCGAAGCCCACACCTTAAGTTTTCAGAACCAGGCAAGGTGAGGATGTAGATCGCCCTCTACCCCAACTTAGAGCTCCTGAGGCAGCGTGCCCTCGCACCCTCCGGGAAAGTCAGAATCCAGAGCCCGCCCTTCCCCCATCTCCTCAGCCTCTCCTCCTGCGGCTTCCCCACGCGGCCCCCTCCCCCCCATTACAGCATCGCTCTGGGCGCCAAGACGGATTCCAGCCAGGGACTGCTGCAGTCAGCTCTCCGCACTTCTGCAGCCTGTGTCTTGGTTCTGCAGCTTCGCGCTGTGCTTCGGACAGTCCCCTTTCCCTCCTCTACCCCACCCCGCTATGGCACAGCCCCTGGCTCGGGGCCCAGAGGTGGGCGGGCACAGTGGGTACGGGTGGGGCCCCCAGCTAGGACGGCAGGTATAGCGGGGTTCTCCCGGCACACTGGGGATTGCCTCCACCGGCGGACTGTGGGTGAGGGACGCCTGTCAGTGACTCGGAGGCCGGGCACAGCGCCCCGCCCTGGCAGAGGTGGGGCAAAAGGGCTAGGGTGCGGTGGGGGGGGGGGGGGGGGACTCCTAGAGCCCAGGCCAAGAGCCGAAGTCAGGGAGCATACCCGGGAAACTAAGGACAGTAGCCTAAGAGGACGTGCCTGGGAGGGGGAGGCTGTGTGTGACATTCAGGGTGTGACTGCCTCGGTGAGGCTGTGTGTCTCCTTAGCCACCCGCGCTCTGGGCTTGGGTACCCGTGCCTAGGTCTGCTGTGCGCGGTTGTGACACCGAATGTGCTGGTTCCTGGGTCCTCAGTGCACACCGACCCGGGAGACCTCATTGGCACCCCGGAGCTGGGCCTCCCCGGCGCTGTCGCTCAGTGACGCGGGCGCTCCTCCAGGACCGCGGCGGTCGCCCGCCGGCTGTGACCTCGGTCCTCGCGGGGCCGCTGCGGGGGCGGGGAGCGCAGTCCCCCTCCCTGTCGCGGGCTCCTGGCTCGGCCGCCCTGCGCGGGGGCGGGGGCGGGGGCGGAGCGCGCGGGCGGGATCCCCCCCGCCTCCCCGTCCTGGTCCCCGGGAAATCCAGCCTCCGTGGCTTGGCCGCCTCCGGCTCCCGCTCCCGCGGCCGCTCAGCGCTCGCTCGGGGCTCCGCAGCCCGCGCGGCCCCTTAGCTGGGGACTCCGCAGTGCCGGGTCCCGGAGCTGCACTCGCGCCCGCAGTCGTAGCGCCCCCGGCCCGGGCCGCCGGCACCATGTAACCCCGGCCGGAGCCCGACCGGGCCAGGTAAGCGGCTGGGAGGGGTGGGAACCGGGCCGCGCTTGCCGCGCCCTCTGCAGCGCCCCCCAGGCTCGGCCGGGTTGCAGCCCCGGCGCCGCCCACGCCCGGGGCTCTGGCGGCTTGGGCTCGGGCCCCGCGATGGGGGGAGGGGTTGGGCCTCAGCGACCGCCCCCGACCTCACCCTGGGCCTGGAGGCCGGCGTGCCTGACCCCAGGGACGGGTTGGGGACCACGCGCTCCGCAGACGTGCTGTCCCGGCCGGGGCCGCGGGAGGCCAGCCAGTGCCCGCCCAGCCCTTGCCCGGCTGGAACGGAAGCTTGGATCTGGGAGGGAGATTGGCTGTGGGGGGAAGTCGTGGTGTTGGGGAGATCCAGAGAGAAGTTTCCTCTGCAGGTGTGTGAGCGAGCGTGCGTGTGTCTGTGATGAGGGTGTCGCCGTGTGGGTCTGTGGGTGAGTGTAATGCAGTGAGCGTGCAGGGTGTTACCGTCCATGAATCTGTCGACATATGTGTGGATGAGTGTGTGCTGTCACAGTGTGGCTGTGGATGTAGGTGTCTGAGTGTGTATGAATGGACGTGCATGTGCGACTACCTCTGTGAATGGGTCTGGGTATGTTGTACTGTGTGACTGTGGGAATTTATCCAAGCAGGGTTCACCCACACCTGGGCTTTGCCTCGCCCCCATTCCTGGTGGGACTAGCATGGGAAGATCATACTTTTCCGAGGTCAGATCGCCCCCTCCCTCCAGGGTCTTCTTAGACATAGACCAGAGCTCCTGGGGCACCTTCTGCGATGCCGCTGGTGTCTTTTCCGCATGCTGGGTCCCTGCTGGTGGTGAGCTGTGGTACCGGTGTGTGGGAAATGTTTTTTTTTTGGGGGGGGGGAGTTGCTAGAAGCTGGTGTCATTTCAGTAAAGACCCCTTAGAGTCAGACACTGAGGAAGCCAGGAGGAACATCTACCTTGTTAACACTGGAGCAGTTTGGCTTTCTCCTAGAGTTCCAAGCCCCACATTTCCGAGTTCTGGGTCATTGGCTTAGCTCACGGTTCCAGGTGGGTCTGTACTTACCTTCTTGAAGTAGTAATACAAGTATCAGTCTAGGACTTTTGAAAATGCTCCTCTTTCATCTCTTGTTTCTCCAGCTGCCTTGGAAGCAGATTGGGCTGTCAGGTTAGCCATATGAAATTGACAGTATTCAACTGTTTCTTTTTTTTTTTAACCTGCAAAAACAACCATTCCACATGGTTCAAACTAATATGATGCCAATTTAAAGAAGAGAATGTTGAGGTTAGGGGGGTGGGTTTCATTTCTCCCGATCACACATTGCTAGGCAGCGGTAGAGAAAAATCCTCACCGAGGTCTTCCATTGACCCGAGGAACCCAGCTAGGCCCAGGTTTAGAGACTAGTACTTTCTAGTGTGTTTTCTCGGACACTGGATCACTGCCCTCCACTTCTCTACACTATCCCCTGAGTGCGGGGTCTACTTCTGTACCCAGCTGTCAGTGCCTAAAAGAGAGAGATGCGGGAGAAGCGAGGAGGGAGGGGAGGGAGAGCTTCGTGAGTTGGCAGTGAATCAGGGTCTAAAAAGAGAGCTGGGAGGGCTAGGGTGGCAGGTGTTTCTAAAAGAAACGTGAACATAGGATGAACAGCCTCAGATGCAGCCCCCACACCCCCCCCACTGCCCCACTGATCTGGCAGGCAGTGCCCACTGCATTTTGTGCCAGGGGGCTCACATCCAAGGAATGAGCTTGCATGAAACTGTAGAATGATAGCCAGAGGAAGAGCCTTGCAGTTGAGTTGGTCCAATCTCTTAATTACAGATTGGGGAATCTGAAAGAGAGGAGACCTAGTCAAGGTCACACAATGAACCTGTGGATTCCTAGGCTAGTGCTTCCCCAGGTAATTTCCTAACCTTCACATTCTCCCCTGGAACTCCTCACCCCCTTAAGAGCTGAGTGTGGATGTGGGTAGAGGATGAAGACTCAGTATGTCTAAGGCTGTCAATCTGTCAACCTGGGACTCTTCTCAGAACAGAGGAGCCTACAGGTATTCCTGGGAATGGGGATGCCTGGCAGACCCACCATAGAGGAAGGTGGTGGCCTTGTCTTAGTTCCAGCTGGCTAGGAGCTGCTGCTGCTCTAGGCCCAACTTCAGACTTCTTTCTTTCAGTGCCTGCTTCAGCATCTGCCTGGCATGTAGCATCTCTTCCAGCTGATGTTGGCGCTTCAGGGGGCCGGGCTCATTTTTCTTCACCCCACACAGTTTCTGATCCATTTTGCCTCTAGCTGGGCTGATAGTTTTTTTTTTTTTTGTTTGTTTGTTTTTAAAACCTTCCTGGGCTTCTGATGGGTAGAGAAACTTCTGAGCTTTGTCTGATTTAGAAAGGACATGCAGCTACCTGAACCCTTTCTGACCGAGGCTTCCAGGAGTGTGGAGCAAATGGTAAGCACAATTGTCCTCGTTGTCACTGCTGAGGGGCTTTCTGTTTGAGGTGTCTGAAATGAAAGGGGGGGGGGGGAAGGCTATAATCACGAAGCTTTTCGCTTCCAAAGACTTTCCCAGGGTCTTCCTATCCCGGTGGTCAAGAGGCCTTCCCAGATTCTGATTTCTATCCCCCTTGGGGGAGTCCAAGCCTTGTTTCTCTGTGGGGGGTTGGAAGAACAGCTGTGTACCCTCCACTCTGCAAGCATCGTGTCTGAATTCCCTCTTTTTCCACCCCCTTCAGTCTGAAGGCTGCTGGCTCAGCGGGGGCCTCCTGCCGTCTAGGGAGTCTGGGTTTGAGCTGGGGTGAGGCAGTGGCACCATCGTTATGGTAACAAGCTGCCAGCTCATCGTTGCTAATAACTTGTCGGGCCCCTGGGCTCAGCGCAGCATCCTTTCCCACTAGTGCTTCTTCCCATGTTACAGACAGAAAAAGTGAGGCTTATGCAGGAGGGGTCTGTGAAGAGGAGAATCTGAGACCGTTGGGTGGCCTTTTCCTTCGGTCTCTATCTGGAGAGCCATGGGCAAAGAGGTGAGGTTGCTTGGGAGCTGAGTTCCAAAGGTGATTGCTCAGGTTTGATTTCTTGGGGTGTTAATAGACCTGTGCTTGCATAAACTTGTACATGCTAGCTGACTTGTTCCTGTGCATATTAGACGACAGCCCACAGGCAAGCATGTTCCAAGCATCAGTGCACACTAGTGTATGAATACTGCTTCTCCCATCTGCACATAAGGCACCCAAGAAATCTGGGTTTGTGGGGGTGTCCAGGTATGTGGGTGGGGATCTGATCTTTTCCTGATGCAGCTTCAAAGTATCTTGCTAACAAAGGGACAGGATGGTCCCAGGGTTTTTCTTCTTCCTTCCAGTCCAGAGCTCAGAAGGGAGTGGGCTGGGATGGTAGACGGGACCCAAGCCCTCGGCTTTAGAAGGCTTCTGCCTCTGTGCCCTTTGAGCTCAGGTAGCCCCTGCTGCCCCCCACTCTCTGTTCTCTCTCATCCTCTCCTCTTCCTGTGTGTAAATATTAAAGAGCTGAGCCTGCAGGGCTGATGTAGACATGGGGAGAGCATGAAATTAAAAAGGATTCCCTCGCCCCCATCCCAACACCCCCGCCCCGCAGTCCCCCGCTCCAGTTTCTTCCCCTTTCTCTTCCCCTCACTCAGTGGTTCCACATGCCTCTCCTCCCCCCAGTCCAGATGGGAGCTGGCTCCTGCAGAAAGGGGGTTCAGAACAGGGTGTGGGGAGCTACCTCTCAAGGCCTCCTCCCAGCACATCTGCCTACAGGGCTGAGAGCCCCCACGTGAGTATTTATTTTGTTTTGGGGTGGTGGTTAAGAAGGAAAGAGCCTTCTGGAGCCAGCTGTGAGTGGTGCTGAGTGGCTCAGGCCTGAAAGGAGGTGGGTGGGGTCCTCTTTCTAGGCTTCTTGAGGGAAGCTCCAGGTCTGGATTCCTTTTCTCTCTTGAGACTTTCAGGGGAGGGAGTGTGTTCAGGTGTGTAGGTGCACCGGAACAAGGGTGGGAGAGGGGTTTCGGTGGATGAAGCTTCTCTTTTGATTTCTGGGTTTCCGAAAACCCAGCCAGAGTGACTGCAGGAGCTGTCCTCAGTGCTGAACGAGACTCCGGAGACGCGCTCCTCTGAGCTGTCCCGGGTGCTGAAAAAGGTTGGGTGAGCTGATGGAGAGATGCCTGGACAGTCCTGAGGGTTCACTAGAAAAAGTCTCCCAGGTGACCCATTTTCCAAGGACAGAGTCCTGGATAAAAATATATATATTCTGAGGTCATTTTTAGGAATTTAGGTCTCATAGTTTTTAGTGGCATTTGGTAGAAGGACTTTCTTTTCCGTATCTGAGTTCACCTTCCTCTTTCTAAAGCCATCGGACTGTTAGTGTGGGACTGGGAAGGGGCAATGCAATTGTGTGGCTGCGAGCTTTCTCTGAGATCATCATAGTACAGCAAGCTTAATGACTCTGCCCAAGCCTTTTTTCCTTTTGAGCCCCAGAAGTTCAGACTCAAGTCAGTCAGAGTTTGAGTCTGGCCAGGTAGACCTCAGGATATAGTCAGGATAATGGATAGGCCACTTGGTGCCAACCTGCTAACCATAACTTTAGACTTGAGAGCAGGAACCCTAAAATATTCTGCAAGCCTGCTTGTGCGCTGCCCATCCCCAGTCCTAGCTCGAAGCATCATTTGGGAGAGACTTTTGTTGGGGAGGAAGATTTCTCAGCAAAGGATTCGAGGAGTGGGTGGGGTTGTTCAGTGCCATGGAGAAGAGAAGGAGGAGGCTACTGGAGACAGGGCAGCAGGGAAAAGGGAAGATCTGGGGGAGTAAAGAATGTTCAAATGGAAGGACGAGGTCTGGGTTTCAATACTCGTCTTCTCTCAATAGCTTTTCCCCTACTGACCTGCAGTCAGGGTCATGTGCAGTATCTGGGTTCAAGGGAATAGAGCAAGGTGTTATTTCTCCAGGTCCCTCTTTTTGTCATCCCTGGGGGATGAGAGCCAAATGTCAGGACATGCAGATGAGGCTGTGG